TGATTTTTGTGTTTATTCACTAAGCAAGTGTTACAACAAATCCATGCACCATGATACCCTATAGTCAGAGATCAAGACAGAAAACCTCACAAAACACAGAATATTTAGAACATGAACTAGCTTATTATGCTCTTATTCATGCAGTTTTGAAGGCATACTGTCAGCTTTTTATCCAGGTTCTTTTCATTATTTCTCCCTGTTGGTATTGAAGCACATGCTGTGAATGACCTCCAGAGATTCCTCAAGCTATATGCAGAAAGTAAATTGAATCCGAACGCTTTATTAGATGAATTCCAAAAGAGTAGCCATGTTAGTCTGAACTCTTTGTCTTTTTATTAGCTGAATTTGTCTTTCAGCTTGTGTCTGATGTCAATGGAGCTGAAAATAAAACTTCTCTCGAAATTGGGTCCTGACCTTGAAATTCTCTAAATCACACTACTAAATCAGTTCTGTGCCAATGTGGTATGCCTTAAACAGGATACATGTTGTAAAAATGCTGTGGTCTTCCCATGGTCTTTCCCTTTATTAGAAAATTCTCTCTCCTAGAGTGTTACCATCTCAAAGACTGTTGGGAATGTTACACACAAGATAAATTTTCTACACAAATGCCACTAGAGGAAGACTAACCCTACTAGTTTCCTAGAATCATAGAGTTAGAAGGGGCCATATGGGCCATCTAGTCCAACCCCCTGCTCAATGCAGGATCAGCCTAGAGCATCCCCGACAAATGTTCGTCTAGCTGCTGCTTGAAGACTGCCAGTGAAGAAGAGCTCACCACCATTCTAGGCAGATGATTCCACTGCTGAACTACTCTTACTGGGGGGGGGGGAATCCTATATCCAGCCAGTACCTGTTGACCCATAATTTAAACCCATTATTTTGAGTTCTGTCCTCTGCTGCCAACAGGAACAGCTCCCTGACCTCCTCTAAGTGACAGCCTTTGTCTTCAGATTTGATGTACAGTTTTTCTGGATGACCACAGGCTACTTACTTCATTGTTCCAGAATATGACTTGTTTTAGCTGCAATCTAAGAGGGTCAAGCTAACATATAAACATTTTGGGTTGAGTTTCCCTGCCCCTTTTTTTTCCTTTGGTTTTTCTATGACTTGTTTTAGCAACACTGCTGTTCTGTACTGAGGAGTTTTCTGAATTTTAGCAGGCATAGTACTTTATGGGTGCCTGATGGCTGATGCTACCTTGTGTGCACATTTTTTCTTTAGTGTTCACTAAGATGTACTGTAATAATGAACTGGTCTACAGCATAAGCCTGTGCTCATAACAATCACCACATGGTACAAGGAACTTTATACAGAATTGGTTAGGTCCCAACTCCACATGAGAAGACCACCAGTGTTCCCTCTAAGGTGAGTTAGTGTGAGCTAGCGCACAGTTTTTTAGCCTCCAGCTCACACATTTTTGTCTTCGCTCAGGAAGGATGGCTCCAGAGCAAACTAATTTATGCAGTAGCCAAATCACAACTTTAATGCCAATAGCTCACAAAGTAGAAATTTTGCTCACAGGTCTCCACAACTTAGAGGGAGCATTGCCTACCACAAAGAAGAAAACCTCTACCGCCCATGGTGCAACCATTCCAGAGATCTGAATTTTCAATTTCAGCCCAGAATCCAAAGAACAATGCATTCTAAAGGCCAGAGTTGACACAATCCCCAGTAGGGCAGTACACACTTAGTTAAGTTTCCAATAGGAAGTACCTCTAACAAAGACAATGTGGTCCTTTTCACATTCTAAACCAGATGTTATTTGCTGTTGGCTTGATTTTGAGTAAAGTGATACAGGGATGGGGTTTCATACAGCAAATTTATTTCTGTTAATGAGCCATCTCTGAAGCGCTATGGTCATTTAAAACAGTGCCCCCCCCCTCTTTTTCACTGTGCAATTTTCCCTGGACTTTTTAAAAAGTTCTAAGGTGAGCACTATAGCACTAAATCTGTACAGAACTTCAGTGCTACAGTGGTTTAGCTCCATAGTGCTCATCTTAGAATATTAAAAAAGTCAGAGGAAGATTGCACAACCAAAAAGGGCAGAGGGAAAAGTGGCATTGTAGGAAGTGCTATGGACATTTCAACAGCATGCCACAGTGATTCAGAATAGACCCATAGCCACTGGGGGGGTTGGGGGGTACCCCCACATATGACCCCCAGCACTCCCTGGGAGGATGCCAGATCCTCCTTCCTCCCCCAATCCCCTAGAGTCCCATCAGCAAAGATATGCACCTGCCTGCCTCCTCAGCTCTCCTTCAGCAGCAGCATGGTGGCTGGGCTGGCTGGTGCAGGCACAGTGAGGTGCTGGGGCTGGCCATTAGAGAAAGGCCCACCCGATGCCTCACTGTACCTGTGCCAGCCCGCCCAGCAACCACACTGATGATGAGGGAGAGCCGAGGAAGCAGGCAGGCAGGGAAGTAGGTGGCAAGCAGAAAGAGGAGCCACAATGCCGTTTGCTGTTTGCCACCCCCTGTCCTGCCAGCCTGCCTCCTTGGCTCTCCTTCTCCTTCCCTCCTTCTGAGCCTCCACAAATGGGGAGGGAGAAGGAGAGCCCACGTGCTGGCCAATCACTTCCTAGTTATGTAACAAGTGATGTCACAACGTCAGGGGCAAGTACCCCCATGCCCCCCCACCAATTTTTTTCTGGCCAAAGGGCTGATTCAGAAGCGGAACAAAGGCAATGAAAACAGAAAAAAGCAGTTTCCATCAAAAGAGGCTCATCCACGCTTTGTTAACCCAACACAAGCGGGTTTGTAAGGACAGGTAAATAAATTTTACTAGCAGCCATTTACTAAAACGGGTCTGTCAGAAATGACAAAAAATCCATTAGCAAACAGTTACTAAAATGGAATACAAAGGCGGTTTGAAAAGGTCTGTGGGAATACTTGCAGGAATTCTAAACAGATCTAATCCAACAACCTATTTTAAAGAGGAACTAACCAGTTACCCTTGACAGCCATCAAATGGGGCACACAGTGTAGCACCAATACTGTTGGATGAGTGGGCAATAACTTGACAAATGAAGTTCTGTGTAGGTAAGTGTAAGGTGATACACACTGGATGTTGTAGTGAAAAAGGAAAAAATTGACTCAACATGCAGCAGTGGTCAAAAAGGCAAACTCCATGCTGGAGATTATCAGGAAAAGAACTGAAAATAACATGGCCAGTATTGCAACTTCCTTGTATAGATCCATAATGAGGCCTTATTTGGAGTGCTATGTACAGTTCTGGTCACCATACCTCAAAAAAAATATTGCAGAACTGGGAAAATACAGAAAAGGACAACCAAGATGATCAAGGGGTGGGAGCGCCTTTCCTATGAGGAAAGATTAGAGAGTCTAGGACTTTTCATTTTAGAGAAAAAAAAAACAGCTGAGGGGGAACATCCTGTATTCATTTAAAAGGAAGATGACCCTGAATGAAAGACAACCCCCATAAAAATGTGATGCATAAAAAGTATTACTGGACAGAAATGTACCTTTTATGTAAGTGTAAGGGCCTGATCACACGCACAATTAGCAGCGCCATAGGTGTGAATGCCAGGTGGATTTAAAGGGTGCGATCAGACACAAACATCTGGGAAGCGCCCTGCACCCGTCGGCAACCTGTTTTGCTCCACTGCAGAAGTGGAGTAAAAAGACACCGGGGAAAGTCCAGTAGGAAACAGGTTGCTACAAGCCATGGACGGACTTTCCCGTCTCATCACTCCAGCGTACTCTCATGGTGTTGGGATGGCCATCCTGACTCCGTGCCGTTGTTTTCCCCGCCTTCTCAGTATGCACATCATTGCACACTCCATAGGGAGCCTTCATCGATTCCCCGTTTTAGCGATAGGAAACAAACGGCAAAAAACAATAATAGTAACCTGACTCACCTGCGGCTGCATGTGATCACGCAGTGGCGGGCTGCCCCCACAGCTTCAAAGGACTGTGTGATTGTGCGACTGAGGGTCAAATTCCTATGGAGGGAATAGCTTCGCTTCCCCCCGGTTTATCTCGTACGTGTGACTGCACCCTAAGAGACCCACTCTTTTATTTAATGGCATACTTGGGGAACAAAACCTACTCTTACATCTGAGTAAATACTTTTAATAGAGTTTATAAAATTATGTATGGGGTAGAGAAAGTGGATAATTCTTTTTTATTCCATTCCCATATTACTAGCATTTAAGGGAACCATATGAATTAGATAGACAATAGTTTCAGGACCTACTAAAGGAAATACAGACCTCATCCTGCAGTTTCACGTAGATCCTGCAGAGTGTAGGGGACAAGATGGAACCTGATGGGACTCCATAGGCCAAGAGGCTGAGCAGGAGTACCCCAGCACCACCTTCTGAAACCTACCCCCCCAAGTAGGACCAGAACCACCACAGAGTTGTGCATCCTTACCCCAGCCCAGATAGGTGGTCCAGAAGAGTAACCATGATTGATAGTATAGAAAGCTGCTGAGAGGTCCAGAAGAATCAACAAGAGATGCACTCCCTCTGTCCATTTTCTGGTGCTGGTAATCCACCAAGGTGACCTTGGCTGTTTCAGTCCTACAACCAGGCCTACCCCAAGATTGGAAAGAATCAAAACAATCTGTCTCATCCAGAAAAGCTTGAAGTTGTCCAGCCATCATCCTTTCATTCACCTTGCTCAAGAACAGAATATTTGAGACTGGTCAAGAATTACTGAGATCTCCTGGGTATAAGGTAGGCTTCTTTAAAAGTGGATGCACCACAGCCTGTTTGTAGCCTGGGGCAGCCACCCCCTCTCTTAATAAAGCATTAACTACCTGACTCAGTCAGCCAGCCCACCACTGGCAGATTTAAGTAACAAGGAAGGGAAGGGTCATACAAGCAGGTGGTAAGTCTGCTTACCTAGCTGTGGAGCACAGCCATGGACCTGGTAAACATTTGGTTTTCCACATATCATCTTCACTATCGTAGGATCTAAAATTTTAACATTTGCCTATAAATTTTGAAATGATAATTGAATCTTTAAAATACATACCAACAGCCGAAGATACAATTCCTGTGGCTCCTGAAACTGGTTTTCCTTTCAGCAATTCTATTAAACGATTTACTGTGTTCCAGTCAGTATTCAGGTCTTCTAGTTTTCTCTAAAATTGGAATACAAGTATAAAAAACATTTCAAGAACAGCTGGGATTTATTTATTTTTTTTAAAAAAACCTCTTATGTTTTATGTGTCATTTAGTTAAAACATCAATTCAATACATATATCCACTGGCAGGCATGGTTTGACATCCCACCTGAGACAGGCCAGTAGTAGAAGAGCTGCCCCCAGCTATTGCACAGCACAGGAGGAGATGGCACCTGCCTGGCCCTTGTGCAGCACTCACTTGGTGAGGGAGAGGCAGTCCCACCTGGGATTCACACAGTAAGGGGAAGCAGCACATGCCTGTTCCTCATGTGACTTGTCTGGTGAGGAGAAGGTGGTATGCATCCAGCTGAACAGTCAGGATACCTTATTATGGATTCCAGCAAGCCTGATGTATTTAACAACCTACAGACCCAGAGGCTGACAGAACTAAAATTTAGATCTCAGGCCTAGTAAAGAAATATTTGTGAGGGTTGCCAGATCTTACCTTTATCCCGGCAAGGGGCTCCAGGCCAGCTCTGGGACTCTTCTGGCACGCATGTGGAGCATGCACACTACAGTGAATCACCCAGAAGTGATGTCATCGTACTGGGCACATGGTTTAGGGATGCACTAATATTCAGGTAAAAATTCTATGGTCACCTGAATGCTATAGTGTCCCCTGAACAACATGCCTGGCATGCCAGGACTCTTTGGGGGCAGGACTCCCCCTAGAGGCCAGTTGGCTGGTGGCAGATTGGGGGTCTGAAAACCGGGGAAAACCCCGCCCCCATCAGGGGGATGACAACCCTAATTTCTGTTCATTTGGGGAAAAAATGCTGACATGGTTTCTATTGATCTTCAGGCTTTGAAGTTTGCTCTGTATCTAACCTGGCCAAAGCTTATTCTGTTTGTAGTAACTCTGGGCAGGGATCCCAGAAATATTGCTGACACTGAAGAAGGTCAGAGCTCAGAGCAGCTGAGAACAGATGACTCAAAAGAGGTGCAAGTGCACCAGGAAAAGGGAGGGAAAAGCATGGATGAGACCAATGCTCCCTCTAAGCTATGGAGTCTTGTGAGCAAAAATTCTACTTTGTAAGCTACTGGCACTGAAGTTGTGAGTGAGGAATTTGGCTAATGCATAAATTAGTTTGCTCTAGAGCCATCCTTCCTGAGCGAAGACAAAAATGTGTGAACTGGAGGCTAAAAAACTGTGTGCTAGCTCAGACTAACTCATCTTAGCGGGAACACTGGATGAGACATTACACACTGGGTTATGATTTTTAAGAAAGAAAACGAAGCATTCTGCCTTCCAGAGGGAAAATCTCACTTGTATTACTATTAGGACTGATGACTGATAATTAAAGAACTGTGATGTAACAAAGTCAAGTTAAGTCAGGGAGTTAAAAACTGAGAGACATAAAAGAAGACTGATGACGGGTTTAACACAGAGAATTTTAGATAGCCATATGAGTCCATAAGGCTATTATAGGCTGTGAGAATGAACTTAATTTCCTGAAATAACCAGGAATGTCTAAAGTCATACACTATCCTCTTCCTATTCATTTAAATTCTCTCGCTATGTGGTCATATTACCCATAAATACACATTTCTGGCCTATAGTAAATATATTCCTTATACATTTGTTGAATCTTTACGTTATCAGTAAAAGGACCATAGCTTTGGTGAGTTATGTGTGCATAAGGGAATAGCTCATAGGGAATAGCTTATTCTCATTTGTCTTTCCCACTGGTGTCCCAGCCTTCTGACTCCGTCTTCAAAAAAGCTGTCTACATTTGGTGTCGTTTTCATCCCTCAACAGTGCTAGCATACTTTCTCACATCCACATATGTTTATCATCCTTTGGGGCAGCTCCACTGTCATTGCACCTCTGCACTGCTTTAAAAGAATCTTCTCCAAACAACATTCAAACAAGCATAGAGAAATCACAGCAGCACGGAAATGATATTAAAATGCAAATGCAGATTCAGCCAGAGTCCATTTGGACAGATTTGATCCAGGTTCAGGCTTAGACCAGGTTCAAAATCCAAAATTTCCAGATATGTTACATGATCTAATATATGGTCTGAGTGGTATTAGGGACATTAGTTAGGCAGTTCTGGGATGAGCCTTGGGGAAAGTGACACTCATTTAGGGGTTGAAATGCTAGTATTTTAAGGAGAAATATTAAAAGGGTGACATGACCCACACTGATTAAGAGGAATCCACATGGAATTAGAATGTTTTCCTTTCATGCCAAAATGACTTGGCAAAGAGTTCCACATGTCTTTTGAGAGACCCTCAATTGAAAACAAAATCCAGAGCTGGTTGTATAGCAGATTTGACCAGTTTATAGGGTTCACCAGCCATCCTGTATATTTTTACATTCCATACCAATTACAAGGACCAAAGTCAAGAAAGGGAAAACTGTATTCAGATAGATTCTTTCATGAGACACATAGACTGCGTTCAGACTGGCAATTTGAAGAGCTAGGGAGTCGTGGCAAAAGAAACCCGGAACAGACCCGGAACAGCTTGGTTGTGGTATTCCTGTTCACACCGCAGTGAATTAAGCGGGAGAATACTGTGGAGGAAGCGCAAGGGAGCCGCCCCGGTGGGCTGTTAGCGGCTATTTCTGTGCTGGGCTGCATGTGCCCATGTGCATGGGCACATGGGTGCAGCAGCAAATAGGGCAAGATTGTGCAGGCCCCGACAGCACCTGCCCATGGAAACAGCTGGTGCCTATTATCAATGACTGCGGGTTCTTCCCACCTTAGCAGCACTTGCGTTCACACTCAGGGAACTGGAATCAAATCGCTCTACATACGGTTTGCTACCACTTTCACCTGGTATCTTTTAAATTCGGGAGGGAAGCAGCACAAGACGGCTTGAGTACGGCTGGGGGACGTCTGACAGATGTGCCTGTGTGAACCCACCCCTTTAATCCACTACTGAAATGCTACTGAAACGTTTGGCTGCTGGGCCAAACTGCCAGTCTGAACTTGGCCATAATTTCCCAGAAGCGATTGATAATAGTTAATGCTTATATCTTGGCTGTAATATATCATCTTTTTTATAGTGTTTGACATTTCAGAAATCTACAAAAAAAAGTTGGTAAATTGACATGGATTCCAGCAGCTACTGTGTTTCCAACTTAGAAAAAAATGAATCAAAAAGTTCCCAGGAAAATATGCAGTTCAAGTGTGACTACATATAGCTTAAACACTCACTCTCACACACACACACAGATGCACACACACAGAGAGTGTTTTCCATTTACAATATTTGTTTGAGGAAATGATAGCTGGCAGATTGCAACTGCCCTCTTGTTTGTATTTGCCCTCAGGAAAACTTTGTGTCAACAAGATGTAAACATTTTTGTCTTGCGTGTGAGTTAATGGTATGCTTTTTCTCCTTTTATTATATCAAAACTGATGTATTGAGGAAGAAAGACTTGTCAAACATGTGATGCAAAAACTGTGATGAAGCTAAGTCAACTACTTAAACAGGAGCCCTAAATACACTACTCTAATACTGCCCATGCAGGGTATTTTGTTGGTTTCTTTTCACAATAGAAATGAATAAAAATGGGGGGTGGGAAATAACCATCAGTCAATTATATACTTCTTTAGGCATGCTTCAGTTGTGGGGAAATACACAAACACACACAGGGAAATGTAATATTTCTTTCAGAAAGAAAGCTGCTCTTCTTCTTCTCTTCTTAAATTTCTGTCTCAAATCACTAATAAGCCTGGCAGTATCACTAATATTGGGTGTAATGATAGGGCTATACTGAGAGGCAGGCAATGGCAAGCCCCCTCTGAACGTCTCTTGCTTTAAAAACCTTACAGGGTTGCCGCCACCACCAGGGAGAGATTATTTCATTTTTTATTGGATGGTTTCCCACACCACCCTGTTCACCTTGCTCAGAGTCTTTCCCATTACTACTGTTTCGCTGATTCGCTGCTGCTTCAATGCCATGGTTTTAAATTACATTTCTTTCCTGAGAAAAGTCATCACAGCCAACTGGGAATCACATTATGAGTGCAATGACTTCATGACACTACATAGTTAATCAGATCTGGCTGTGTAATGATGCCATGAAGCCACTTGAGTGTGAAGACAATACTTTCTGAATCAGCACTGCTTTCACTTGGAATAGACAAACATTTTTATCACTTTTGGAGCAAACTCTGAAGCTCCATAAGAAACTTTTTGTAAAAATATTATCCCTATTGACTCAGTCCTATTTCATACTTAAAATGTTTAGCTTATAGAGCTTTGACTGAGTGCATGCAAATAACAAAAACTATGTATAGGTTATATCAACAGTTCCCTTCTGACAAGAAAGGAATGTTTCATTGGCAAAGATTTTTCAAAGGGTGGAGTCTTCCAACAAAAGAAGAATCCCTAAACAGATAAAGGGAATGATTGGATATAGTCCATTGGGCTTTAGTAAATAAAAATAGTCCTTCACATTTAAAGTATGTCAGGAGAAAGATAATTTGCACAGGAAGGGAAAGTGCATGGTAAACAATACATCAGTCTCTGAAAGCCCCTAAGCAATCTGAATGTGTAAATTTCAAGCATCAAGAAAGTAATTCCACTTGAAGAACATCATGTATACACTGTTATGATGCTGTCTCTGCAACAGTCACTGAAGCAAAAATTAGCTTCACAGGGTGGTAATTAAACAAACAGCAGTGTGTAATTAAAATATAACACAGCAGAAAATGAATTTCTAATATTTAAAAAAATTCCATTATTTTTTCATAATTTACATGAAATGGAATCCTTATGAATTATTACCCCCCATCAAGGTATAATTATTTAAAACTAAAAAATACCACACCATGAGCATTTCTAATACATCTAAAGGGGACAGTAATTATGTCACTGGCAAGAGAACACCAGTACAGATGTCTAGAAACATCTGTATTTATTGAAACAAGCTTTGGCATGAATAATGGAAAGAACGATTTCAGACATTTGAGACATAATGTACTACCCAGTCAAAATATTTCCCCACATCTGTATATGAAATGAAATCTCAGAAATCTCATTGTTTTGGGTAGAAATCTGTTTTAATCTGTTTTAAATTTCATTGTATTTATTAAATTATTGTAACCCGCCCTGAGCCCGTTTATGGGACGGTCGGGATATAAATGCGAAAAAATAAATAAATAATAGATAAATAGAAAGCAACCATCCCCTGTCACCACGCTCTGAATGGGCAGAATCTTAGTAATAACCAATCAGGAGGGTCAGAATGTTAGAATGCTAAGGGGGAAGAGAGAAAAACTGGGAGCTGTCAACTCCAGCAGTTGCTGTTCAGAGAAAGAAAAGACTTGACCACTGAGATTACTAGAGAAAAGTGATCTCAATTGGGAGGGAGTGTATTCTACAAGAAATAGATTATTTATTCTGGTATTATTTTGACTGAACTTTCTGGCAGGTTTGATTAGCTCTTAAAGTGGGTTCTGTCACATGGGGTTTAACTGACGCAGCTGTCGGTCAGAGTTGGAGGAGGCTCTAAATTCTGAAGTGATTTGGTTCACTGAAAAAGAAAACATGAATACCATTCAACCAACAGCTGTTTTAAACACAAGAGTTAAATGCTACCAAAGACATAATAAACAAATCAATTTCTTCTTTTTATATTCCTACCTCCTATGCTTCAGGCAAAGTTATAAGCATTATGTCACTGCTCGCAACAATGAACACACATACCATAGTCATTGTAACAAAGCCTAGGTTACATTATTTTCATATATACTAAAAGGTGGGGGGAAAGCATTTTCTTTCACGAATAACACCCAAAACAACATGTTTTTATCCCCTTCTTATCCCACTTATACACTGTGTGTACACATGTCCTTTCTGGTGACACAACTGTAGATCTTGTTGCAGTCAGGATGTTTTGAGTAGGGGGAAGAATACTACAGTCAGAGATATGCTCAGTTTCAAGCCATGTATAAAGAGTTTCAGCTGAAAGTATAACATTTGTGTCCCTGTGCTATCACAGAAAAACTCCATGTTCTTGCATAGATTTCAGATAGATCGCATCAAGGACAAGTGTACAACAGGGGAAGCATAACCTATTATGCAGTAATGGATATTACTAAGGTTGCTTCATTACCGTTACTGGTTGAGTGACTGGTTTTTCCCTGTACAAATGATGCCCTTTAGACAAAATCCCTTCCACATCCGGCTGTTTAGCTTTCACGGCTGCTTCAATGTCCTGAAAAATAAAAATACACAGAATAGTTTAGCTCTACTATGAGCAATAAAAACCCTAAATCTGAAGGCTCCCTGGGAAGCTGTATACACCACGTAGATTAGTTTCTTCTTTGGAGCAGTAATAGGAATGATTTGCAAAAACAGC